GCCCTCCTAACCAGCCCTGCCCTCAGATGGCCGTGCTGGTGACCCAGGCCAACGGGGACACCCGGGTCACCGAGGAGGCCATCGCGCGGGCCAGGCACTCCCTGAGCGACCCCAACATGCGGGTAAGCAGTGCTCCCGCCCCCCAAGGGGGTCTGGTGTCAGGTTTGGGGCAGGCCTGGGGGTGCGTGGGTCAGGGCTGCCCGGCCCCCCACCAGGAGGGCCTTACCTGAGTGGGTGTTGAGTTCCAGGCCTGAAGCCTCTAAGGGCACATCTTTTTTTTTTTTTTTAATATATTTTTATTGATTTCAGAGAGGAAGGGAGAGAGAGATAGAAACATCAACGATGAGAGAGAATCATGGACCGCTGCCTCCTGCATGCCCCGCACTGGGGATCAAGCCCACAACCCCGGCCGTGCCCTGACCAAGAATTGAACCTTGAACTGTGACCTCCTGGTTCATAGGTCGACGGCTCAGCCACTGAGCCACTACGGCCGGCTGGCCTCTTTGTTTCCTAAGGGCACATCATTAGGTCAGGGAAACCAGAGACATCGTGGGCGAGTACTGTTGTGATGCCCATTTTATAGATAAAGAAACTGAGGCTCAGAGAGGCTCCAGAGTGAGCAGTGGACCCAGTGTTTGCACCTGGTCTGCCTGGCTCCACGTTGTTGCCTTTAAGCCTTCGTGTGGGCAGCTGGGTGGGCAGACGGAGCCTGGGATGGAGCTTCACCCACAGCCTCTGGCCGGAGTCTGGGAATCCGGCTTAAGCACACGGCCTCTGGGGATGGGAGAGGGAAGGGATGGGGCCTGGATGGGGCTGGCGGGGAGGTGGAGCCAAGACAGACAAGAGAGGCAGGCAGTGCAAGGCATGGATGGGGGGCAGGGACCGTTCAAGGTCATCTCCAGCAGGCGGGCTGGCTACTGTGGGTGGGTTCATGCAAGGCCATGTGACCTGCTTGGGGCGGGGGGAGGTGTGCTGATCTGCCCGCCCTCCTGCAGACTTCCTCTGTGAATCCGACTACAGTGCTCCCGGCCCCGCACCCTCACCCCGCATCAGGTTTTTGTGAGTTTGAGGGAAGTTAGGGACCCAGGGCCTGGCTGTCCTGTTTGTAGGATCAGGTCCTGGCGGCTAGCAGGACGCCTCCCCCTGTGCACGTCATGAAGGCTCCAGGGGTCGGGGACCCTTGCCGTTTGGGGGCCTCAGGGCCTCCTCTCCTCACACTGTGAGGCCAGAGCAGAGAAACTCCATGCACCGCGGCCTCTTCTCTCCTTGCCCCCAGGAGTTCATCCTCTCCTGCCTGGCGCGGGACCCCGCCCACAGGCCCTCTGCCCACAACCTCCTCTTCCACCGTGTGCTCTTCGAGGTGCACTCGCTGAAGCTCCTGGCAGCTCACTGCTTCATCCAGCACCAGTGTGAG